TTTTCAGAAGTACATCACCAGTACTTTCTTAGTAGTCTGTCTTATTCTGGAGGCTCTGCTGAGCCTGTTCAAGAACTCAGCAATTTGCAAGCTTCTACTGACTTTGCAATTACTTGCTATGAATCAGAAAGCTGGACAATGACTAGAGATGATAGAAGGGGAATTGATGCCTTTGAGCAGTTTTGCTGGAAAAGAGTTCTTGAATATACCATGGTCTGCTAGGAGAATGAACAGGTTCATCTTAGAGAAGGTGAGACCAGGCTGCTCCTTGGAGGCAAAGATTCTGAAGCTTTGTCTGGGCTACTTTGGACATGTTGCAAGAAGGGAGATGGAATCATTTGAGAGGAACGTCATTCTTGGTAGTGTGGAGGGAGCACGCCAGAGAGAGGAAGACCCTCAATGAGATGGATTGATTCAGTGACTGCAGTATTGGGGGGATAAATGTGTCAGAGGCAATAAGATTGGCAGAGATAAAGCAGAATTTGGGGCTGTTGTACATAGACGACTCAAACGCAAATACAACAGCAACAGACTAATGGATGGAGACTACACACCTTAGGAACATGGATATTAAATATCCACTCTACAGAACGGATCCTTAGAAGTGTGAACAAATTACAGAGGAAACAGCAGACTCCAGCCAGGGGAGTCCAGGACAAGGCATGTGCATGGAATTTTGAAGGTTAGGCTTGATGTTTCTTCATGAGAAGACATTTTTAAAGAAATAGCATGTGATGGCACAGGTGAGAGTTAATAATCACAGCAGCTAAGCATTCACAGCTAAGGATTGCCAGATTCTGTGGTGGATTCTTTGCTTGACCAGTTACTCTTGAAAGTCCCACGAGGTCAGTATTGGTTCCATTTTAAAGATTAAAAAACTGAGGTATAGAAATAGTTGTGATTTTCCCAATGGGACACAGCTAATGAGCTTGTGAAATAAACACTATGCCTGATTAATTAATGATGAAGAGAGTCGTGAATTTCAACTGACAGGCGGCAAAATTCCTGACTCTGCTTCTAGAATTCATGCCCGTCGCTCTCCCAAGAATGCAATGTGTTGAGGGAGGTTCGAGATGCTTGGTGAGGTTTTGTGAAGTGTGTTCTCAGAACTTTTCTGAAATGAGTGTTCCTAAAGTTAGTTTCTTTTATCTGTCTCTTTCTGAGAGTTTTCTATTCTGTAAGAAAGCCACTGTAGTACAGTGGTTAAGTTCTTTGCTGTTAACTGAAAGATGAATGATTTGCACCCACTAGCTGCTACCAGGAGAAAAAGCAGATAGTCTGCTTCTGTGAAGGACTGTAGGGTAGGAATCCCCACGGGGCAGTTCTCTTCTGTCCTACCAAGTTGCTCAGTGCTACAATTGATGACAAAAAAATTTGAATATTCTGTAAACTCTCTTTTCTAAAACCCTACAAGAAACTTTTGTATGCTAACTTGTACGTTTCCCCCTCTCCATTTAGACTACCATGTTCTTGAAGACAATCCTTATTTCTTTTGACTCCTCAGTGTATAATGTTGACTCCAAGGCTCTATGAGGTCAAGCACTAGATGTGCTTTGATGGTCACTGAGCCCCTCCCCCCACCCCCGGGTTTAAGACAGGGCTGAGCAGATGGTAGGTGCTCTGTGACATTTCCAAAGTAAATGAATATGACACTTATTTCTAAAGGTTAGGGAAATAATGGCTTTGGCCTGAGTAAATACTCTCTTTCATTTGGTTGTCAGATGGCACCTAATTCTATTTCAATTACTGAAGCATTTAAGAAAAATCAATTTCCTGCTCTACCATCCTATTCTCTAAACCCATGCAAACCTAGTTGACCAGCTGTGGGAGAATTCTGGGCATGAAGTTCTGTGACCTACTTTGACTGGTTCAGTGCTGTTGACAGTGTGTGACTTACGTTAAAGGGGGACTATTTAAAAGAAAATAATTTTATAGTGCCATTATTGTGAGCAAATCAGCTGCTGCCTCACTGTTCATTGTAAATGGTTTCAAACACAAAATACCTATGATTTTCTATACAACTCGACTGATATCCACACCCTATTGCTAACCCTTAAAGTGGCCACAGTGTGTTAAAGAGACACGATCACAGCTTCATGTGACTATTGACTGCCTCCAGTATAGTTCTTCTGAACTCAGGATCTGTTGAAAGTGTAAATGTTATGTGGGGTGGGGGGGGGGGAAGGGGGAAGAGAGAGAGCAAGAGAAAGAAAGAAAGAAGCTGGTCCCAAGAAACGACAGGCTTTTATTTAATGGTATGAGAGGGACGCCAAGAGACCATGCGTGGAGAAAGTCAAAATGGCATGAGGGCAGTCAGGGATAGTTTCTTTTTATAGAGGTTTTAGGGGGGATTAAGGAAGATGGTATTTTTCTTGGCATTTTGGGCTGTTAATGAACTTGGGTTTGGGCATTTGTCTTCAGCCCCAGAGCCTCATCAGGATCCATTGTCTGGTCTGGTCTCTGCTCTGGTCACCTTAGACATTATCAGGTTTCTTCAGGGAGTGATCAGACTTGGAGACAACTGCCACATTCTCCCTCCAGTAAAGTAGAACCAGATAAAGAAAAAAAGTATGTTGAATAGCTCATCACTACTCAGATGCTAGAGAATTCCCTGGCGAGTGAGGAAATGAAATTAAAAACATGATTTTTTTAGACAATGGCATTTTGGGACATTCCAAACATAAATCTGGTTCAAATATAATCTCATATAGGTCCCTAATTCTGTTATTCCCCAACTTTATCCAGAGTCACTAAAATTCGCTCAAGGACCCAAGTCTGTTGTTTTTGTTGGCTTTTTGTGACTGAATCAAAAGACAATCTGATCTTAAGATTTCTATAGCTTTCAACTTTGTATTGACTCTAATTATAAAAGCACATTAAATCTATGTGATAATTAGTAATAATAATAATAATAAAATTACCTCATACGTTAGTGAGTACCCATATCTATCTGTATTAGCTGCTGTAACATAAATACAGCAATGACTACCTTTAAAGAACAGGGATTTAGTTTCTCACAAATTACAAATTAAAGTCTTGGTCTTTTTTGTTCTTTTGTAGCAGAGTCTTCCTGGGTGGTCCTCAATGATTTCTGTCCTCCATAGGTGTGTGTTTCCTATACTATTTTTGCCTTCTTATACCTAAAAAAGAACTAGATTTAGGGAATATTCTATAACTGGATAACATCAAATGACTGATTTATTGGATTACATTATGCGAAGTAATTTTATATTACAATTTATATTAGATTACTTTTTGGAACAGCAACTAGACTAGTGTTTGACCAAAACATTGAGAACCTTACTCTAACCAAGTTGACATGAAAATAACCATTGCACCATCCTGGATTAGATGCAATCAGAATTCGAGTAATTAGAATTGCCACCATTTTTCTAGCTAAGAAACTGAAGATGAAGTTAACATTTATTTATTTAAGCCTGGCCCTGTTTCAAAAGAGCTCTTTGCTCTTGGCTAACTCAGATAATGTAAGTGGTTTACACAAACAACACAGTCAGCAATGGAGCTAGGAAAAGATCTTCTATTTCTTATTAAGACAATTGTTCTGAGATACAGTCTTCTGTTTTTCAAGTATGAAGTATTTTACAGATAACAAAACTACATAGTTTTTAGCTGACTCTCTATGTGAGTTAGAACTGATTTCTAATTTATAGACAGAAGGAGATTTAAAATAACCTATCTTTTATATAGTGCCTTTATTCATTCATTTACAAGGCACCTATTGAACACCTGCCTTGTATAGTGCATTCATCTGTACCCTGGAGACACAGATGCATAGAAGAGATGAATGATATAACAGACTTCATCATAACATAAGTACTTAATGTGTGTTCTGTAGAATTACACAAAATACTAGAGATTTGGAAGAGCTTCACTCCTTAGAGGTGCTCAGGAGCGAGAACAGGGAGGAAGCATTTAGAAATGATCCCTTAGTGGGAGATGAGGGTAGGAACGTGTTGCTAGAACATGACATTTCCTATAACGTACTGCCCAAATCATCTATGCCACAACCTGGAACTGTGTCCTACACCTAAATATCTTTCATCATGCATTTGCATAACAACAGCAATACAATTAGAAAACCTCTGCTTATCATCCTGATGTCCTTAAGGTGTTTTATTATTTTTTTCTTTTTAAAAACTATTTTTTTATTCATTCTTGCTTATTTTCTTTCTCCCATCCCCTCCCTCACCTACCCCACACTGCACCCCATGTTCCAGATCGTTCTCATTTATATAATGCATAATCATATGTTCCTTTTGGACACTTTCCCCCCTCATCTATTCTAATGCAGACTTTATTATCTATCCACTCCTTCCCAGTTCTTTCCCCAACTCCCCCATCTCTGTCCTCTTTTATAACAGCAGTGTTATACAGTGTTTGTCCTTTTGTGACTGGGATATTTCACTCAGCATAACATCCTCCAAGCTCTCCCATGTTGTGGAATGTTTTACGGGTTCATTGTTTTTCAATGCTGCGTAGTATTCCATGATGTTCTTCCATGGATTTTCAACCCATTTGTTTGTTGATGGGCATTTGGGGCTGCTTCCATCTCTTCTCTAGTGTGAATAGCGCAGCAATAAACATAGGTATGCATACATCTATTTGAGTCATGGCTCTGGTTTCTTTTGTGTATATTCCCAGTAGTGGAATTGCTGGGTCAAATTGTATTTATAGTTCCAACTTTCTGAGAAAGTGCCAGAACACCTTCCGTAGTGATGGTACCATTTTGTACTCTCACCACAGTCTCGCCAGCATTTGTTGTTTGCGCCCTGTTGAACTTTGTTGCTGGTATGAGATGAGATCTCATAGCTGTTTTGCCTTAGGTATTTTAGACTATATGAAGAGCTGCTCAGTATGAGGATTTTATGAAGTGTTTTGACAGCCATCTCTTTAAAATTAAAATAAACAAGCCCAGATTTGTAGCATGTGTCTTATCTCCTTGGTGTAAATGCTCTTGTTTGTTACGAGACTAATTGAAAATGGAGTCAGTATAGTATCACTCCATATACTTATTGTAGATATAAATCACCTCAAGTTGTTGTTCTCAGATGTTCTGGGATGGACTCAAGCTACCTAGAAAACAATAGATGGAAACCTATCCTGTGCCCTCTGCACAATCTCCAGCAGGCTCAACCCCATTGTGGCAGTCACTGTGTCTATCAGTTCGTCTTGTTGAGAATCGTCTTCTCTTTCACTCATCCTGTCCTTTCCAGCATGATGTCTTTTTCCAAGAACTGACATCTGACAACATGCGCAAAGTTTGTGAGACCAAGTTTCGTCATCCTTGCCTCTAAGTAGAACCCTGGTTAAACTTCTTTTGGGGCAAATGTGTTTGTCCTTTTGGCGTTCCATGATATATTTATGAGCTTTGCCAACACTATGATTGATAAACATCAATTCTTCTTAGATCTTCCTTCTCCATTGTCCACCTTTCACATGCATGTGAAGCAACTGAAAAAACTATGGCTTGAATTGAGTGCACCTCAGTGAGATAATATTAAGATATGCTTAAAATAAATCAGAATAGAATGAGTTTGGAGTATGTATTATCATTGTTCATAGTTTAAAACTTTGTAATTTTAAACTTTCAATTATAATTGTGTTTAATAGATATCTGGCAAAAATTTCTGAAAATTCAACCATTAGCTCTCAAGATCCTGTACGAGTCATCTCCAGTGCATGACTGTGCCCGAGTATCTAGAATGTGAAGTAGACATAATCCTTGTTCTCACTGTCTCCTCCTCCTCTTTTTCTTTCAGATCAGCAAACAGCAGCTGCAGACAGTCAAGGACCGCTTCCAGGCTTTCCTCAATGGAGAAACCCAGATTGTAGCCGATGAAGCCTTCATGAATGCAGTCCAGAGTTACTATGAGGTAAGACTTACCATCCAGATGATCATAAGACTCTCAGGCCCAAGACCCCAGGATTCTAAGCTGCTGGTCGAAGGGAACAATGGTCCTAGCTTTCCACAGTATCATCCTTCCTGAAACAAGTTGACTGCATTGGAAAATAACCAAAGCAATATTAGGGAAATGAGCATTTTGTTTGCGGGTGGACTTAGGGGAACTGTAAATAGAAGATACTGTTTATCAAGTGCTTTTGTGGAAGGCACTGTGCTCAGTGGTTTACATAGGATTTCCTGAATAATTATCACAAATATCTTTTTAAGTGAAGCAATTTGCTATTATCTCCTTCTACTGATGAAAACACTAAGGCTCAAAGAGGTTAAGTCAATTACTTCAGCCCACATAGCTGTTAAAATGTCACAAGCGAAGCCTAGAGTCCTTTCTTACTTTCCAAAAGGTGTTGCCACCTTCCAAGAATAGTATCCTAACTAGCTCCCATTTTCCCCCCTGTTACAATGGTCTTGTAGACTCTCTTTTGGAGGATAGATCACATTATCCAAAATGTAATAAAACTGTTTTCTAAAGAAAACCTTGGAAGTAGGAATGGCATTCACTTTCTAAGCAGCATCTCTCCGGAAACTCTGTGAACTTTGATAGATGTCGATAGTTGTAGAGGGGCTTCAGGCCTTTTGTTCATAGGGTCTCTATGAGTCGTGCTCAATTTGAAGGCAATCAACAACAACAACAAAGAAAACATACAAAAGAAAGAATGTATCCTGAATCTGTAACACAGACAACTTCAGCTCAGTTATGTTTGTTGCCATTGAGTCTGAACTGACTCATATCTGGCCCTCCAGCCTTTTACAGAGACTATAAATCACATAAGAGGAGATTCTGTCTTAGTGGAACTGTCTTTAAGTTAGCAGTGCAACTCATTAGAGACTAGGCCCCCCCGAACTCCCTACTGACAGCTAAGCCATCAATACAGTGGATGTGGAATTCTACAGTATTTTTAAGTGTTGAAATATTCTTCCTTAACTTTCTCCATTTTGCTCTGGGACTGTGTTTATCCATCAGTGATGAAACGGACATACCTTAACTCCCTGTTGGTTATGTGTTGCTGAACGCATATGATCTCACCCAGACTTCCCATCATTTGCTTGCAAACACTTATTTGGGCATTAAGAGACTAAGTTATATAAACGTGAGTCACATAAAGTCTCAGTATGCTGAGATGCATCTCTGAATATATTATTTAGTGTCACAACTAGATTAAACTCATTAGAAAAATTTTTTAAATCCCATAAACAAGACCAAAAAGGATAAAATCATTAGAAATGAACATTGAGCACTGAAAAGCTTATGGCATTCCATGAAATGCAATTCAAAATAAGAATAATAACTTGTAAAATAAATATAAGAAGATTCAAAGGATCTGACCACATGGAATCCCTTCCATCCTTCTTTTTTATTTTAAGATAGCATATTGTTTCAGAACAAAGATTTCGTATTTTATCTTCCCATGTCCTCTAACCATTGGGAAATCCAGTCCATAATAAATGCTTTGAATTATCAAAGTTAGCCTTGATGGTTTAGTAAGTCTGATTCAGGAAAACTCTACTTCCTTGCTGCTATTTGACTTCTTTTGTGGAGAGAGTGGAGCTAGATTGCAGTTAGATCTTCTAATGATCTTGTGAAAACATTATTGATTAGTTTGCTAATTAGCAAATAATATGAAAGGCGTTTATCTCTCTGATGTTCAGTAGGTCCAATCACAGTCTCATTTACACACCAGTCCTTAAAGAAATTTCTATTTGAAGTCAAGTTTATTTTTAGGTGTCCAAATTTAAGCTTTCAAAATAAGTGGCAGCAGTTATTGCCAATGAGCGTCAAACTTGCTGCTTAATCTGATGTAATTTCATTTTTTGGTTGAATTTAATGAAGAGTGGAAATGAGATTGAGAGTTAACAGACATATATGGAATTTAATAACCTGATTATATTTTAACTGAAGATTCTGATCAGAAATTGCTGGGGAATGAAATTAGTTTCCACCATCACCGTTTCTTCAGATTTTAAAACCAATGGGAGAAAGAGTGAGAAAACCCTTGTCAGACTGGCAGACCCTGTTAATACTTCTCCATGTGTAGAGTCATTCACAGGAGTGTGTAAATTTGTAGATAATAAACTTAATTAGAAAGCTCATTTGACTAATGAAGTAAATCAAAAGAAAGTGCCATTTCTATCTATTAATTAAATTTGAAAATTAATAGTCATCAACATGCTAATGAGCCTCTGGAAATAACCACCATATCTGCTAACTGAAAGATTCACAGTTCGAACCCACCTACTGGCGACTCTGTGAGAAGGATATATGTGGCAGTCTAGTCCAGTAAAGATTACAGCCTTAGTGCTCGCTTCAGCAGTGCATATACTAAAATTGGAACAATACAGAGAAGATTAGCATGGCCCCTGTGCAAGGATGACACACAAATTTGTGAAGCATTTTGTATTTTTCACATAAAAACTTCTCCAACTTTTCTAAGGCAAAAAGGGAAGCCACAGACCGGGAAAAAAATATTTGGTAATGACATGTCAGATAACGGACTTATATCTAGAATTTATAAAATACTTGAGCACCACACTAGATAAAGATAAATAAACCAATAGAAAAATGGGCACAGGATATTAACAGACACTTCACCCAAGAAGACATTCAGATAGCCAACAAGCACGTGAGGAAATGTTCAAAATCCCTAGCAATAAGAGAGATGCAAATCAAAACAACTATGAGTTATCATCTCACCCCAGTAAGAATAGCAAAATTTAATAGAACAGCAAGCAACAGATGCTGGCAAGGTTGTGGAGAAACTGGAACCCTTATTCACTGTTGGTGGGAGTGTAAAATGGTGCAACCACTGTGGAAGGCAGTGTGACACTTTCTCAAAAAGTTACAAATAGAGATACCATTTGACCCAGCAATTCCACTACTGGGAATATACCCCAAAAAACTATAACTGCCACCCAGGCAGATATATGCAAACTCATGTTTATTGCTACTTTGTTCACAATAGCAAGGAGTTGGAAACAACCTAAATGCCCATCAACAAAAGAATGGATAGAAAAGTTGTGGTATATTCACACAATGGAATACTATGCTGCATTGAAAAACAAGGGACTCATGCAATATTATTCAAAATGGGTGACCCTGGAGGACATTATGCTGAGTGAAGTATCTCAGTCACAAAAGGACAGATACTGCATGGTGCCACTCATGTAAAACAGGACTGACATCGGGGTTGGGGGCAGACTGAGAAAGATGGGTTCAATAATGTATACTCCATTGAAACAGATGAGGGAGAAAACTATTTAAAAGGGATATGTGATTAGGTATTTTTGTTATGACAGAAGTCCAGAGCGAAGCCTGCATAGTGGAGTGGACCTAGGGGTAAAAATTGTAAAACAATGAGAGGATTTTTCTTTTACTTTTCAAAGGGGAGAGTGTACTGGGGCGGGGGAGCATAGAAAAGTGCAACAATGAATGAATAGAAATCCAAAGTGTCTGTAAATATTAATTGAAATTAATAATAAAACAAAACAAAAAGATTACTGCCTCAGTGATCCTGTGACGTAGTTCTATCCTGTCCTGGCGGTCACAGTGAGTGCTGATTTGACTTGATGTCTGTGACTATCCACAGCGATCCTCTCATTTTCGTCTGCAATGACTGTTGTTTGCTCTCAAGTGGAAACTGAGAAGCCAAATAGACTCCATATTATCTAACACCCATTGCATTTGAGTAATTAAACACTGTGTGTGGAAAATTTCTGCCCTGAGCCCTGCATTTTTGTCTTGACTCATTTGTCAAAATAGTAATTGCTGTTGTTTATAAACCCAAGATGTAGACATTTTGTACTGTACCTGTGACTATGTCACTGTATCCTTAGAAATATGTCAACAGCAGGATATTGTATCTTGGGCCCATGTAGCCCAGCATCTCAAGGGGAGTAAGGGTATAAAAGCACCTAGCTGACACTAGAGGAGGGGGGTCCCTTCATTGTGCAGTGACCTTACCTATAATCATGTGTCTCTTAATCCATTGGGCACAACAGGAACCAGCCCATAGCTGACCCTCCAGTGGGTTTTCAGACACAGTAAATCCCAAGGGAGGAGATTGCTCATCTTTCTCTCATGGAACATGTGGAGGATTCAAACCACTTGCCTTTGGGATTGCAGTGCAGCTACTTACTCCTAGAACTCCCTTCTGTAGAGATTAGGTCATTTGAAGAGCTTCTGAAAAGAAGAGCATTGGGAAAATACAGACATTGCGAGAATACAACATTGAGGAATTGCTAAATGTTTACTGTTAAGACCTTTGCAACATGCAAAATAAGGCAGAGTATTAATTACCTAGTTAAACTCTTATTCCATTCATTAGTAAAGATTTTGAAGTCTTGCAATTCACTTTTCCAGTGAAGTCTATCTAATCTTACAGAGCAGGAGTCTTCATAGTCAAGAGCCTAACTTAACACTTACATGGGAGAGATCCCTTCCCCTTACTTGTCCTTTTTCTTCACTCTTGAGTGGTGCAGAAGCTAGTATTCCTTCCTACATCCAACTTTGGGATCCAGTTGCTTTTTTTGTCAATCTGTGTTTTGACCAGGATTCTTTAAGTTACATATGATTTACACTTAGTTCTAACTGGTCAAAGAGGGAAATGTATTTACTCAAATAATATGCAAACCAATAAAAACTTTTTTTAAATAAAAGACTTCAAAAGTCCAAGAGTAGGCTTAGCTTCAAGAATGGCTGGATCTGAGACTTCAAAGATGCCAACAGTATGAATATCTTTCCTCCTGTCTCTTGGCTTTGCTTTTTCCATGTGGAGGACACTAAAAGATCCATTTCCTGCTCAACCAGCTTAGCATTCAGGAACAGAGGGAACACCTCCCTTCCAAGAGTCTCCCCAAAGATTCAGGGGTTGCTCTGGCTGGACTGACATGGGGCATGTGTTCCCTTTTAACCCAGTC